TAAGATGTACGTGCTCATAGTGCAAACGTTTCTCAGCGTTTGATTTAAAGGTTTTTTCGCATACATCACATTTAAATGGTTTCAACCCGCTGTGGACCTAGCATGGAAAGAAGGAACATATATTTTGCAATGGAGTAGCTTTTGTAACTACCGTACCGTACCGTAGAATATAGTATTAATTAATATAGAAATGTAGTGGATTTTATGGGGAAATGAAAATATTCTTTATTCGGTGCATCCCTTACTCTGTCTTTTATATGTAGGAAATACATACTGGATACCAGATTCTATTTATTCTATGTTTTCCATCTGATACTTACAATCATGTGTCGTTTGCGATTTGCCGCGAAAAGGAATCCTTTGCCACATATCTCGCAGTCGTAGACCGGTCGTTGTTCGCTGTGGACCATCTGATGATTCACTAAGTTACAATGCATGGAGAAACTTTTGTCACATAGCGAACACTTAAAGCGTTTCTCTCCTGTATGTACCCACATATGATCTAATAGTAATGCTTTAGTCTGAAAATACAGACGAATATTTTTAATAACAATTTAAAATTCATAATAGATAGAGTTATTTTTTTAAATCATGGTTGCTGTATATATATTAAACATTAGAAGGGGAATTCTCTTTCTTGTATCTCCTTTGTCTATTAAAGGTAGGCAACTGTAATTGCTAATGTTTATGGGCAGCGGTTACTTCGCTATTTGAGCGACTCTAGGTGGCTGTTTGTTCGTTTACCACCTTATAACATATGAAAAATGATCGAAATTATCACAGGTTTGTATAATCACGTGTTGCATTTTGAAGTCCCGCTTAGGCAAACTGCGATGCTAGACAAAGTACATTCGCTCCGAAGCGTTACCATAGCGAATTTCCAAAGTAATTGACTGACGTGCGATAATAACGTGACTAAAAGATATTGCCAGTTCTATACATTTTTCAAGTTTGTTATGGAATCGCTTTGAAGGGAATGCATTTTTTTTAGCTCCGCTGCTGACCGTTTGCTAATTTGCCACCTAATAATAAAAAAAAAAGTACTAAAATGTCACTGAATAGTATTATAAAGTATTTAATGTTGTTGTCCCTTTCTCTGCATTAAACACTAGGTGTCAGCCCTTGGGCAACCTTTCCCCTTCTAAAAAAAACAGTGTTCTTACGTGGAATATCTTTCCGCACTGGTCGCACATTACAGACCCCTTGACATTAGGATACTTGGTGCGATGCTTGTCTGGATGTTCACGTTTGAAGTGGTACATATACTTCATCATACCGCGCAACTGTACGCCACACTGTACAAACATTAAAAATATAACAATAGCTATCGCACGCTACTCAAATAGACTTATTTAGTAGTCTATGAGTTCTTACAGACTATGTTCTTCATCTATGAAAAGCTTCATTAGGATCTATGCCAGCTATTCCGGAGATACCTTCTAACAAACATCCATTCATCCAAACATTCGCATTTATAATATTAGTAAGATTACTGCCGAACTCAGAGTGGTAGTTTATTAAGTCAGACCCTTAGTAGAGATTTCTTTAAATGCTATGATAATTATAAGATAAATATTGGTTATAATTACTACTGTAGTCAAAGTAAAGTGGTATAAAAAAACTTATTAAGGTAAATATAGTATTGCAATCAAAGGGCCCTAACCTAGTTAGGCTATAGCGAAGTGTAATCACCTGTTCGCAATCAATAAGTTTGGGCTCCGGTCTGTTGCTATCCTTGGCAATGGGCCGCCCTTTGCCCCGACCTACCGACTGGATCACATGGTCCACACCTATATAGTCGTTACGGATTCTATTCCTAGTAACAAAATATAATAATTACAGTACTGTAACTTACGGCTTTGACTAAAATTTTTATATATTATTAGATCCAAAAAAACAGACTAATTCTATACATAGTGACCATTACATTTTATCTTAGTTCGTAAATTTATTTTGTCTTATAATAATTAACAAAAATGCAAACTATTCTTCAAGTCGATTTAAACGAGGGAACAATTTTAGTCCTCTTTCCCTTCCAACTCTATTTGTTATAAGTAAAGGATGGGAAGTGGAAATGGATTTCCCGGATGAGGGGGATACATGGGAAGAAAAAGTATTCTTCTTCTGTCCATCCTCCGTGGACAAAGGTATGCAACGCATATGCAATTGCGTATGTCTATGGGCAAAGGTCACTTCGCTATTTCAGCGATTTCAGGTGACTGTTCTCTCGTTAAAAAAAACTGAAATTGATTTGGACGATGGAAACCTAGTGCACCGACCCTACGTCCTCACCGAGGGGCTCGGAGCCTACCCTAAGTTAGGGGTGATTAGGCCATAGTCAACCACGCTGACCAAGTGCGGGTTGACTTAACACATATCTTTTAATTTCTGAGTATGAATAGCTTATATGTTTTACAGTTATATGAACTTACCTATCATCATCTGTGCTATGTTTTGAAGATACTTTCAGATGTGTGTTATAAGCCATTTCTGATGCAAATCTAACTTCACATACTTCACAGTATGGACCATCTAAAGTCATCTGGAATTAATTATTCTTTACTGAGTCTTTCCATTGTTGATGCATTTATATAAAATATACTAGCTTTCGCCCACGACTCCGTCCGCGCGGGATTAAAAATAGATGTTGGCCGATTCTCAGACCTGCTCAATATACTCACAAAATTTCATGAGAATCGGTCAAGCCGTTTCGGAGGAGTATGGGAACAAAAATTGTGACACGAGAATTTTATATATTATATAAGATGTTATATAGTTTTTAAAATTATTTTATAACTTTTAAAGAGCCCATAGCCTAATGGTTAAGGGTACTTAATTCCTATCGTGGTCGACAGTTCGAATCCCGTTCGAATGTCGTAAACCATATATTATTAAGCCTAGAGCTTAGTTGGAATGGAAGAAGAAATATTAGTAAATTAACAAAAAAAAAATTAGCTAATATAAAAAAGTGAGATAAAGTGATGTGACAAGGGTAGCAAATTAGACGTGAGAAAAAGTATCTTATTAGAAAAAAGTAAATAGTTTTTTTGGCTTTAGATAGATAACAAACATTGATTATTCATTTTGTGCGTAAATAAAATGAACCACTGACCGGACTACCACGTTTCATTTTATGCTTCCGTTTCTTATGACCGTATACACCCTTTTTGCTAAGGAATGTGTAGCCACAAATTTCACACACGAAATCCGATACATGCTTGAGTCTGAGATGTCCGAAGTATGAACTCCTCTTTCTGAATAATAACAAACTATTTAAAATCTGCACACGTATCAATATAAACTAGTTAGGGCCCTCTGGCATATTTAGTTATGTGTCTTGCCCCGTAGTCCAAGGAGTCACGTGACTGTAAATAGTCAAATAAATACTCTATTTGAATAAGGGCCCTGAGGGCCCCTAAGTAGTCTGGTACCGTCAGTGAATTTTTAGACCTTAGTGTAAGCCGTTCTTAATTATTTTTAGTAACATTTATTCAAGTAGACAAGTTTATTGTGTGCGACAGAGACAACGATCTACAATACATACATACATAATATTATATACTTACTTGAACTCGGAAGGACAATGCGGACATTTGTATGTGGTACCGTCGTGCCATTCTAAATGCCTTATTGCGACGCCTCTGGAAGATAGAAATACAAAATAAATAAAAAGGCATCAAGGTATTGAGTTAGTAAATTCTCATAGAAAAAGGCCTTATTTTAGTCCCTTTGCCCTTCACATCCTTTTCTTCAATAAGAATTGGATCTGATAGGGAGGATACATAGAGAAAACATCGTCTTTTTGTTTGTCTCCTCTGTCGATTAAAGGTAGGCAACGTATCGGTAATTGCATACGTCTATGGTTAGCGATTGATTCGCCATTTCAGCGAATTCAGGTGACCGATTAACAATGTTAGGTGTAGTGGACTACAGTAAGGACGCTGCGCAGTGCGCAGTTTGTTCTTGCCTCACCTGTGCTTAGTTACAAAATCACATCGATTGCAGGCCATTTTTTCAGTATGTAAACTGCCGATGTGATTTTTTTGCGCTCTCTTTGTCATCATACGAGTCTTGCAAATAGGACATTCGTATTCTCCACTGTCCTACAAAGCGAAGTTCAACATAAGTGTACTTTTCAACTTTATAAAACTAGCGGTCGCCCCTGACTTCGTCAGCGTGGTTTAAGTATCGGATATTTTCCAGTCAAAGTCCCGACAAAATCTGTCCACACGTTCCCGAGATTACAAGGAACAAACACAACGCAAATTATTTTGACAATTTAGTACAGATAAATATGACTTATCTATAAATATTGATAAAATTGGAGTGTCTGTATGTAATATCGAGAAAAAATATTTTTCTTCTACAGATGCTAAGTTGCTATTTTATGTGCATATTTTTGTATGTTATCAAGTAACTCCACTCTCAATGCTAAGATGTTTTTAATTTTTTATTCGGCGCAGAAGTTGCGTGCGATTGCTAGTAAATGATAGAAGATACATATCTAAGAGCGTCGGTAGCCCAGTGGTTAAAGCATTTGACTTGCAATCTGCAGGTCTTGGGT